TTTTAATGTTTTAAATGCAGACTATTGTGGAAGCAGTATAACTCTAAAGTAATAAACACTATGCTACTTTGATTTGCTTCTTTCCTGAAGATTCTAAAATAACCCTGGCAGATCTACATATGTTACTGGCACCAGGTCATTCATCTAGTGCTAGTGACTTGTGGGGATCCTGGTGCAATTAAAAGGGAAATAGAGACCTCCATGTGTATCATGTTAGGTGTTTTGTGAATGACATAGTATCTACTGTTCTGTGGAATCTAGTCAGGACCCTGAATCAAGCTTGACTTGCAAATTTCACATATTTTTATTAGACCCAATATTGAATATCTTCTTTTATTGCTTCTCAGGTTTACCTACTTCCTGTCATCATGCCACACACATAACAGGGCAAGGGGAGGAGATCTTGATGCTTACCTGATCTAGAAGTCTTATCTTGCTTGATATATTATGATATATTACAGCACTACCAATAAGTTCGGCATTCTGAAGTCTCTCTCTATTTAAAAAATATATATTTTATTGATTTTTTTTTTTACAGAGAGGAAGAGAGAGGGATAGAGAGTTAGAAACATTGATGAGAGAGAATCATCGAACAGCTGCCTCTTGCACACCCCCTATTGGGGATGTGCCTGCAACCAAGGTACATGCCCTTGAACGGAATCGAACCCGGGACCTTTCAGTCCGCAGGCCAATGCTCTATCCATTGAGCCAAACCGGTTTCGAATCCCCTCTATTTTTTAACTGAGGCATAAAATGCACAAATGAGGAAAATGATGATTAGAATAAAATGATGATTTCAATACAAATATGCTCCTTGATGAGAAATATGAAACAAACTTCCATGAGTTGTTGCCAATATTCTCACTGAGAAATAGGAATAAGTCTAATTGTCACGCAAACTTTTTTTTTTAAACATTTTCTAGACATAAAGCTAAAGAATGAGTAGTGAGAGATCTCAAGTGAGATGTCATGTGTGAGGCTGCTCCTTAGCTTACAATAGATTTTTGAAAAGGTTTATTAAGTAAAAACAATGTGGAAATAGCAAATTTACCAGTGTGATGAAAACTGCTGTTACATAGGTGCTTTCAATCTTTTATTTCCTTTTTATCAACAATAAAGCAATAAGGAATTATTGCTGCAGTCTAAAAATGAGAAAAGTTTAAATACAGAGGATTAAATAATTGGCCTATAAACATAGCTAGTAGAGTTTGATTATTCCTAAGTGATGTCGGCTGGGGCTGCAGTCATCTGGGGACTGTGAGACTGGAACATCCAGGAGGTCTCACTCACAGAACTACCAGTTTGTGCTGCTTTTGACTGGGAGCTCAGCTGGGACTGTCAACCCAAATATCTCCATTTTCATCTATACATGATGGCTTCATGGGGCTTGGGACAAAGGAAGTGTTTCAAGTATTAAGGCAAAAGCTGCAAGTTTTTAAGGCTTCACTTCTGAAACTATACAGTATTATTTCTGCTGCATTCTGTTGGTTACAACTGTCACAGGGCCAGCTGAGATTAAAATGGAGGGGATATCAGAGGGAGGGCAAAAATTTGTGGCTCCTTTTAGTCCATCATAAGTATTGACTAATTCAAACAAGGAGAATGATCTAGCTCCTAGATTCCAGGACAACTGTTGTTTTAATTATTCAGAATGATCTAATATTTGGTATGACTTCATTTTGTTGTACCTGACCAAGCCTGATGTTTAGAGATGGAGATTCAACTTGCCAATATAATTTCATGAATAGAATATTTCAAAATGTATTATTTCTAAGGTGAATTTTGGAAAACTCACAATTTTACATTTATCAGCTGAAATGAAATCAGGTGTAGACTTTACCATCAGTCAATCCTCTCTTCTCTTTATGGGAGCTAGAGGCCATGAGGGGCCTTGTGATGTTTTAAGCAGAACTATGAAGTACTGAAACTGGTTTTCAAAAACATAATCATGCAACTAGTGCTGCCCTATCTAAATAATTATCTTGAAAGCTCTATCATTATTCCAATGACACTGTTTTATTTTAAAAGTTCTGGAAATATTATTTTGGAATTGCTTTCAGAGTCTGTAACATTCACTTTGAAAATCCTGACCAGTTATCTTTTTTGAGTGTGACTAATTTTTTAAGTGCTGTAGGCCAAACAGACCTAAGTCTGATGAATATGTTGGGTGGTCAAAGTAGGAGTCCTGCTTTTGAAGCTAAATAATATTTAATGACAAACGAATTAGGATTTACTTTTTTTTTTTTTTTGTGCTTAAAAATTGGTTTCTGGTAGTAAGACCAAAAAACAAAGCATTCAAACATGTTTTGAGCAGTAGCATCTTATTAAATAAACTGCTTTTCAAGTTATCTATTCTGGGGGAAAAACACTTTTGACGTGTAAATTCTGGTATATTTATTTAAAAATCAGATTTTGTCATTATCTTTAATCACTTATAGTCTGATCATGTTTTTTACCGTATGTTTAATGTTAATATACTGTGTATATAATATTAACATGTATGTCATGCTTTTAAAAGCTTTTTACTCTTATTAATGTTTAAATCTTCATAAGGTCACATACATATTATTTAGTAAATATATTATTCTATTTAGAAATAAGGAAATCTAATTAAAGAGCATTTGAGACTTTTTTAATGGCGCTTTAGGTGTGCTATAATAGCAATAAAATTAAGTGCTTTCATTTCCTGCCTCTCATATTGTAGCAATTGTTCTTACCATGAAATGGTATTAGAAAATAGTGAAAGAATGCAGTTATTTTATAAAGATGTAAAGATATTTGGATCTAAAAGAATTAGTTAAAATAACATTTTATGGAAGAGCATTTTTTAAAAAACTTTTTGTAAGACTGACTGAAACCACTAGTTTTTCTCATAGAAATTTCAATCGATTCAGTTCATAATTCTAGTTTCATCACTTTTAAGTGTATTTTCCCGTGTCTAACAGCATATTCTAAGCAGGATGCTTTTGTAGCGCTTTAAACCAGGCCATTTGGTTTTTCTAAGAACTAGTCAATGAGATCAATAGTGCCTGCACCCTATGACAGCCTGGGATCATGGTAGTTGTTCAATAAGTGCCTATGGAAAAAGAGATCCATAACCTTGAGTCACCAGAACAATACATTCTTCCTCAGGAGGAGAAATTGCATTTCACCATAAATGGCTGTGCCACCATGTGTTACATCCCTGAGCCTATCCTAAGTATTTCAGCAACTCCCTGCAAACACTTCTCTACAGGTTTCTCAACAGAGTGAGAAACCTGAGCTCACTGCAATTAAGTCCCTATAATCATGAACATGGCTGTCCTTGTATTGTCTGCATTTTTTTTTTGCTTTAATTAAAGAATGAGTTTCCTAATAACATTAGCCAGAAGAACTGCAACCAGAGAACTCTATTTCTCTCTCAACTCATGTTCAGCTATATATCAATCTTACAGGTAATCCAAGACTGGTTTGTTAAAATTCTGCAGGACCTTGCTTTTCCTTCTGGCATGGATTAAAAATTTCTGTCTTCAATCAGACATTGTCTTCCTGTTCAGTCCAGCAAAGCTAGGGTATTAGGTGTAGTAAATGGGAATGAGTAGGAGTAGGTAGTCTTTCTCCATGAAAATGTTCCAAAGGTAAGAGACTTTTGCAGAACTATTGGCTTTTCTTTTTTACTTTTAAACAAGGAACAAAATTCTTATGATAAATTGTAGCTTCTAGATTGTAAATAATAAGGGAAAATTTCTCAGATAGCTTGACAGCATAAACATACCCAGGCCTCTTCTGTATAAGGAAAGCATAGACAGGCTCCAAAATGGGAAAAATAGCTGCAGACTGTGCCAAACAGGTTGCAGATCTGTCAAGTCTCAGCTCTTAAATTTGTTGAAGGGCCAATTCTCTAAAACTTCCTGGAGGTAAACCTTTCATCAAGACTCAGAGAAGCCACGATTCCTAAAACAGGGTTTGGGACATCTTTTTGTGCGGTTCAGATAGTACCTGCTCTCCAAATATGGAAACATGGATGTATGTGTGTCTATATGGAGCATATAGACAAAGGTTCAGAGAGGAAGACTGTTAAAATGCAGCGATTTCTTCTGAGGCTTGAGCTGGTTATGTAAAGATTAAGTGAGTGAGTTGAGCTATTGTCACCAAAGTCACAAAGATAATAATGAAGATCATAATGTTCAGATCCAAGCGAGTAAGGTCTTTCACATGTAGCCGCGGTCTTTATCAAAACGAAATGCTTTTAAGGAAACGTTTTTGTTTTTTTTTGAAAAGCATAATGAGAACAAAGTGGAAGAGGCAGAAGCGTGATGACACAAGGCTGTATGGCTGTATGAAGCTTATTTTCCAAATAAACAAAAAGGGGGGGGGGAAGATGAAATGAGTGGGGACTGGAGTATTTCAGTGTTTTGAGGAGGAGAAAGGTAGATGAGAAAAAGGGGAGGGCAGAGCCTGGAAACAGGCGCCGCTCCTGTCACACACTGAGGGGCGTAGCCATGGCTCGGGGCGAAGACAGCCTGGCGCCCCAAGTGTGAACACCCCCCCCCCCCATCCCCCCCCCCCCCCCAAAGCGCCTCTGACCGAGCCTGCGGATAGGAAGTTGTGTTCAGAGATTAAGAATCCCCCCACCCCCCATTTTTTTTTTTTTTTTTTTTTTAAAGCAGATACCCAGTTCGGTGGGGCTAATTTTTAAGTTTAGTTCTATCCCATGTTGCCTAATGAGCGAAAACAAGATGGACGGGACCCGGCATTTGTCCTTAAGGACTTCTATGACACCACACTTTGTTTTTTTTTTTTTAAGGTCTCACATATTTATTACCGAACCAACCTCTGGGTGCAGGAAAACATTCACCAAGAGAAAACTCCCATTCTTCCAACAATTCAGCCCCCAAAATGGCCATGTTTGTTATCAAAGTCACAAAGTCACTGTCCAGGGAGGGGCCGTCTTTTCAGGAACAGGCGGGTGCGGGGTGCCGGCAGCGCCGACGCGGGAGCCCGGAGCCGTGGGCGCGTCCTCACAGGCCCAGCTTGGTTCTTCTCCAGTGCCTCCTCTTGGCGTTGTACCGGATTCGGTTGCCGGTCTTCATCCAGATCCACTGGGGAATGGGCCGGTTCTGCTTCTGCTTCTTGGCCAGGAACCTCTTGATCCTGAAGGTCTTGTGAGAAGACATGGCGAAGGGCACAGTCAACCGCTCGCACCAGCCAAGCCGCTAGCAGGAGTCCACCGTCAGCGCCCGTCACCGTCAACCGTCGGCGGCACCACCACAGCAATGGCAGAGAGAGGAGGATGTAGGCGGAAGTACGTGCTTAGCGGAGCTTCCGGGGCGGGGCCTGGCGGCTGACGTTACGTGCTCTTCCCCTCACGCGCAGGCGCTCTTGGAGCGGAGGGGAACTTGGAGCGGAGGGGAACTGCGCCTGCTCCCTAGGCGGGTCCTTTGGGTGCGTCACTTCCGGGAGCACCTGCTTCTTCGGTGAGGATGGCAGCCATTACAAACACCGAAGCAAATGGTAAGCGCTCCTTCTTTTTATTTGTAAACTCTTAACCATTTGCAACAGCAGGGATGGACCTGGAGAGTATATTACGCTAACAAAAGAAGCCCGTCAGAGACAGACAAGTATCCCATGATCTGACTCGTGTGGGATTGAATGAACAAGGTAAACTGATGAACAAAATAGATGCAGAGACACAGAAGCGTGGGACAGGCTGCCCAGCCTCCGAGGGAAGGCGGTGGCGGGTGGGTGGAGAGAGATTCACCTGGGAACTTACATGCATCTATTCATAGTCCATGGACACAGACAGTAGTGTGGTAGAGGCTTGGGAGTGGTAGGTGCAGGGTAGAGGGGGTCTATGGAGGAAAAAAAATTAAAGGGACATCTGTAATACTTTCAAAGTAAAGGTTAAAAATAAAAAAGAAATACTCAAGCAGAAGCCCTCCCAAAAGCAGAGGAAGCAGAGTGGTGGCATAACGCTTAATTTTTTAAAAAAATTAGTTTTAATATTTAGCATTCATATATGTGTCAAAAATTACAGAAATGGATAGAGAAATTTTATGAAGTGCCTTCTACACAGCGTCGAGCATTCATTCTTCCCTGTTCTCATCCTTATGGGGATGGGGTGCAGGGAGGAGGGGGGAGATATTTTTAGCCTAAGAACACATTGCCAGATTTTCCCGGTAGCACATCAGATGATTGTGACCTAGGCATCTGCAGGCATTTGGGCAACAAACTCTTATTCTAGGTCTGTGGCTCTAATTTCAGGGAAGTATGTGAATCGCGATGCCTCAGCCTGGAGAGGCTGTGTGTGTGTAGGGGGTGGTGAGGGATGTGTGAGTGGGGGGGATCAGCAGGATTCATGCACATGCCTGAAACTTTGGTCACGCGCCTTATTGTACCCTGACTAATAGTATGTACCTGGTTCAGGTCGGTAGTCTTTTGCACGTATCCAAACTAGACTACATGCAGAACTGTTCCAGCCATATGAGCATATAAATTTGTCATATAAAACTTTGGCCTTAAAGGGAGACAGCTGAGCTTCCACAAGCTCTGATGTGGTGTTGTTATTACCACATTAGCTACCAGAAATGTGCACTGACTTTCTTCTTTGTCCTTTTAAAAATAAATATATTTTTATTGATTTCAGAGAGGAAGGGAGAGGGAGAGAGAGATAGAAACATCAATGATGAGGGAGAATCATTGATTGGCTGCCTCCAACAAATCCCACAATGGGGATTGAGCCTGAAACCTGTTTTTGTGCCCTGATCTGGAATCAAACCATGACCTAGTTAGTTCATGGGTCGATGCTCAACCACTGACCCATGCTGGCCAGGCTTCTCGTCCTTCTGATAAGTGAACCTTGTATGGTTTACCCAAAGCTGTATGTCTTCTCCTTTCTTCAATCCAGTCCTACTCCTGAGCTTTGTCAATATTCTTGTTACCCACACATTTGAGTTTCTCTGAGAGAGGCATTAAACATTAGCCAGAAAGAGATTGGCTTATCTTGTTGGTACTGTATTTTTTTTTTTAATATATTTTATTGATTTTGTACAGAGGAAGGGCGAGAGATAGAGAGTTAGAAACATCGATGAGAGAGAGTCATCGATCAGCTGCCTCTTGCACACCCCTTTCTGGGGATATGCCCGCAACCAAGGTACATGCCCTTGACCGGAATCGAACCTGGGACCCTTCAGTCCCCAAGCCGATGCTCTATCCATTGAGCCAAATCGGTTTTGGGGGTACTGTGTTTTGAAGAACAGGAGGATCCACATTCTTTTTTCCAGGAGAAAACCAGGAATATATCTCTCCAGCCTGGTTCATACCAGGCAATAGGTCTCCTGGATTACAATAATTAAGGGCGATATGGAGTAGAAACCCCGAAGGCAGGCTTAAGTTGTGAAAAAGCAGAGGAGCAGAAAGGTCAAAGGGGAGGAAATTCCAGGTGTCCAAAAGAGGCTGACTCTGTGAATTTAAATTGTCCTGATGTCAACGGTAAGAGAATATTTTGCATCATCTTGAAATTCCTATATGTATTTATGTTATAGATTATCTTTCTAGTAAGTCACTGAACCAGTATTTTTCCAAGTTCATGAAGATAAAAGTAAATTAGAAAATATTAATCAGTTTTGTGTACTCTACTAGGTTAACTTTTTTTTTTTCCAAAATAACTTCATGATGTGTATATTTTTAAATATTTTGAATGGCCATCCATAGATTTTATAATTTAAATAATCATACAAACATGGACCTTAGCTTTTACCCTGTAAGCAAATGACATTTATAAAAGCAGCATCTACACTCAGTGTGACAGGCTCAGCAGCATTTTAGCATTATTCTTTACATACATTCTTTCTGTTGGTTGTTTCCCTTTTCATAGTGACTTGTCCAGATCACCAGGTCTTATCCAATCTTTTGATGCAATGCAATACCCAGCTCTAATTTGATCCTCAATATGTTAAGGTGCCGAGACTTTCTGCAGACACCTATTGCTACTATTTTGAATTATTCTCAATTAGCAGATCCCACAAGGCCAGAGGCAAGCTTTTGCTGAGATGATAGTAGTGCTTACAGTATAATTTTTGGATAGTGCCTCAAATATGAAGCCCAAAGACTATTCTCCTACGTATCTCATAATAATTGCTTTATCACAAAGGATATTTGGCAGGCTTTTGAAGTGTTGATGCCTCTGGCAAGGTTAGATGATTCCCCCAGAGGAGGCAGGAGCGTTTTTTGTTTTTGTTTTTTTGTTTTTTGTTGTTTTTTTTGTGTTTTTTTTTTTTTCCTGAAGCAGGAGTAGCTGACCTGCTGCTTCCTCTCTCAGATATTTATGTCAAAATTGCCTCAACAAAGTGATGAAAACATTCTTGATTATCCCCAATTTTCTAATTGTCCTTGAAAATGACTACTTTATATCATTTTGGTACAAAGTTCTTAGATTTTTTTAAGGGCATGAAGGATAAACTGAATTTATAATTTGCCAGTTTTTGACAGAGGTGGATACCAAAGTCAATTGCTTTTTTTGTTCTTGCTGTCTTCTACACATGTATGTCACTGGGTTGCAAAAGAATAAGCATATACTACCCTCAAAAACTCATAGTCTTTTGGGAATGAGTTATGTAGATGACATTAGAAGTGTTAAAGAAGCCGAAACTGGTTTGGCTCAGTGGATAGAGCATTGGCCTGCGGACTGAAAGGTCCAGGTTCAATTCTGATCAAGGGCATGTTCCTTGGTTGCAGGCATATCCCCAGTAGGGGGTGTGCAAGAGGCAGCTGATCGATGTTTCTCTCCCTATCTCTTCCTCTCTGTAAAAACTCAATAAAATATATTAAAAAAAAAAAGAAGTGTTAAAGAAGATAAATGGCTGGAATAAAACCTCCTTTAACTGTGCATGTACGCATGGGGACTTGCACATATATGTATACAGCCCTCATGTGCCGGAGGAAGGGCTGTTGAAGATGATATGGAAGAGAAGGACTTACGCACTTCTAAAGAATGGATGATGTTTCACCAGATAAAGTTGGAGGGGGAAAAAAAAGGCTTTTCAAGTGGAGAGAGGAGTGTGAGCTAAAGCCAGGAATGGGAGAAGTAAGGTTCTAGAATTATATTTTATTTATTTTCATGGTGTTAACATAACTACCTTATTATAAACTGCACAACAGGGGTTAAATATTATAATTAAACATACTTGAAGAGGCTAATGAAATGAAAGTGAAATCAATTCTTCGAGCTCATAATCTCTTCATATCAAATTTCTAAGGGAAATATATGTGAGCCATCTCACCCAAAATTTGGAGGAGGAAGTAAGCTAAATGCTATGCTCTCTACGACCAGCTCTGGTCCCATGTTGAAAGAAACAGGGCCCAGTCTGTATAGCTCAACAATTAAGTGTCAAGCCAGGAACCAAGAGGCCACCGGTTTTGGCATATGCCCGGGTTGTGGGCTTGATCCCCTATGGGGGGCATACTGAATCTCTTTTATCGATGATTCTATCTCCCTCTCTTTCTCTCTAAAGAAATCAATAAAAACATAAAAAAAAGAAAGAGGGAAATGAGGCAATATTTATGGAGTATCTTTCTATCAGATGACATATATTTAGTCATTTAATGCTTATGATAATTGATTTTATAGACTTCATGGCTATGATTCAAAAGATTACCTTTATTTTTATGATGTTCCCACAAAAACACCACCATGTAAGCAAAAGATAAAATGGATTTCATGTGGAGAACTGAAGAGTAAATAGGTTTCCCCTAGGCCAAGGGAACTGAAAGAGGCAAAATATTGGAGCGGCATGTTGATGTTAGATAGGGCCATCTCAATGTAAAATCAACATATTCATTAATTTATTAATTCATTAAATGTACAAATATTTATTGAGCTCTTACAGTGTAAAACACACTGACTAGTGGACTCTTGATACCACAATAACAACATAGACCAGAGATTCCTCTTCTTATAGAGCTACATTATGGAGGGTAGAGACATGCAAATAAAAAAACATGAAAAATAGAAGATAGTGGTAATAAATGCTACAGAGAGAATTGTAACATTAACATTATAAAGGCATGGCTACTTTACATTAAATTGAATGGTTAGGGAAGGTAATACATAAGCTGAGGTCTGAATGACATAAAAACAAAACAAAACAAAAAACTAACACCCCCCCAAAAGAAAAAAAGAAAAAACACACGATGAAAAACAAAACAATAAACACCTACCAAAACCAAACTCTATCTAGCCATGTAAAAATCAGAAAAAAATGGAATTCTGGGTGCAGTGTCCCCAGGGTTAGACTTAGTTTAATATGC